CTGACGACTTTTGACAACAAACTGTCTCAGTGTCATAACTACCAGGCCCCCCCAGTGACACAGCGTAATGTCTGCGGACTTATAACGTTAGAAACCGGGTTTCGATACCTGTGGTGGGCAGAGCACAGATAGCCCATTGTGTAGCTTTGTGCATAACTTCAAAACAAACAAATATAACAACAGCAGTGATCGTAAGCCTTTTATCGGATATCATGCTAACGGTGAATCCGTTGATCCATTGTTCGCGTCCCGTTGTCATAAAAAAATTGTTGCTATGCAGTTTGTGATCAAGGTGATGATGAAATCCCACAACGTGTTTAGAGTAACCCAAGAGTTGGCGGTGGGTGTTTTTGACCAGCTGCCTTCCCTCTATTATGTTAGTTTATAATTAGAGACGGCTAGTTCAGATGGTCCTTGTGTAGCTTTGTGCGAATATCCAAATCAGACATCCCAATCCAAAACTTTCCACAGGTTCGACATCTGTGATTACAACGACGACGACAACTGTACGACCCACAACAAGTGTAAATCCCACGACAGCATTTAAGGGACTAATAACTAAGACGACGCCTGAACAGCTGAAAATTACAGATGCAATAACTACGACTTCTGAGGGGCTGACGACGACGACGACTCCTAAAATGCATACAACAACACCTAGAGGTATGTATCGACTAAAGGAATAAGATTGACGCTGTTTTTCATTTATACATCCATTAAACGTTAAGTGTATTTATTTATTTTATCATTCTATAACGATATAAGATATGTAGCGATACTCGATAACCATTAAACCTTATTTTTATAACAAGCAATAAATCTTAATAATGTTTTTATAAGACTCACAGTTATGAGTAAATAAAGTCGTGCTCACCATGTGTTTGTGGAAATATATATATATTGCTCATTTGTTAACTTTGTAGTTGTAATCATTCTTAAGCCTACTTATCAGTCTTGCTGTGGAGGGAGATTTGTGAAACTCATTTTAAATAATTGGCCACTCTTAGTTATTCAACGTTAAGTCAGTAGAACAACTAACGCTGTTAATTTAGACAGACTGTATCTATAATAAAGCATTAGTCAAGAACGTGTTATTTTAATAATACAGAATGTATTATTGGGGTTAAATTTACTTTGTTGATATAGTTACTAAAATATAAATGTAAGATAACAAACGCTATACACAGAATTGTTTTCTAAGAACCAAAACCTGATAAAGAATTCTAAGAATAACCTTAGGTAACAGTTGATGAAAAAAAAAAAGGTCTAAAAATAAAATGTTTATTAATTTATTAGTTAGATAAGAAGCGCATATTTTAAAAATTATATATTTTTGACTTGTATAGATTTTAATCGGTTTGTGTTTTATAATTTTTTTTTCAACTGCAGACCATCTCATCTGTTACTATTACTTGCAAGATCAAGCAGGTAACGTTAGCAGTCCCCTGTACCCAAGAAACTACTCAAATTATTTAGATTGTACCTATCTCTTCACTCGGAACAACGACAGAGACATCTGCCGGTTAGAATTGAAAATATTTGACTTTGACCTCCAGGATTCAGTCGGGTGCTTTCGAGATTATTTTGAAGTTGGCGGGAAACGCTATTGCGGCAATTATTCTCATAAGATAATAGGTAGATTAAATATTATGTATATTCTTTTTTTGTTCCGTGTCTCATTGCTTTGTGGTAAACTATTAGTATTTTTTTTACTTTTTTTCTTCACATCCAAACTTCTTTGATATTTGTGTTTTAGTTCCAGTGGAATCATTAAGTAACCCCCCCCCTCCCCACGGTGGGACGGCAGTAAGACTCTGAACTTACAACGTTATAATCCGAGGTTCGATTCTCCGCGGCAGCATTAAATATCACGTGCTAGAAATGTTTTGTAAGACTGGTATTTTGCTGTGTTTGTGTGGTGATTGTATCCACGTACATATTTCAAATAGAAAGGTTAATAATAGTAAAAGTATTAAATAAAGTTAAACTGTTGCTGATCTAGGCGTGATTTTAAGCACCAATATATCATATTATCACTCGAGAAAGAAAATATAGCACATAGATCGAAAACAGTAACGAATTAAGAAATTTACGGCGTGAACAATTGTACCTCATCTTTGGCTATAATATACATATGTATTGAACTCCTCCCGCGTCTCCACAGTAACGAATTAAGAAATGTACGGCGGGAACAATTGTAGCTTATCTGTGGCAATAATATACATATGTATTGAACTCCTCCCGCGTCTCCACAGTAACGAATTAAGAAATGTAAGGCGGGAACAATTGTAGCTTATCTGTGGTAATAATATACATATGTATTGAACTCTTCCCGTCTCCACAGTAACGAATTAAGAAATGTAAGGCGGGAACAATTGTAGCTTATCTGTGGTAATAATATACATATGTATTGAACTCTTCCCG